CCTAGGAGTTGGAGCCCCTAGGAAAGCAGCATTAGTAGTAACAGTAAAGCTAAGCTAAAGCTAAGCTAAAGCTAAGCTAAAGCTAAGCTAAAGCTAAGCTAAAGCTAAGCTAAAGCTAAGCTAACGCTAAGCTAAAGCTAAGCTAAAGCTAAGCTAAGGCTAAGCTAACACTAAGCTAACACTACTTTAAAGCTAAGCTGAAGCTAAGCTGAAGCTAAGCGGAAGCTAAGCTAAAGTTAAGCTAACGCTAAGCTAAATATAAAGCTAAAGCTAAGCTAAAGCTAAGCTAAAGCTAAGCTAACACTAAGCTAAAGCTGCGCTAATACTAAGCTGATCGATAAGCTAAAGCTAAACTCAAGCTAAGCTAAAGCTAAGCTAACACTAAATATAAGCTAAAGCTAAGCTAACACTAAGCTAAAGCTGCGCTAACACTAAGCTGATCGATAAGCTGATCGATAAGCTAAAGCTAAGCTAAAGCTAAGCTGAAGCTACGCTAAAGCTAAGGCTAAGCTAAGGCTACGTTAACACTAAGTTAAAGCTAAGCTGAAGCTAAGCGAAAGCTAAGCTAAAGTTAAGCTAAAGTTAAGCTAAAGCTAAGCTAAACCTAAAGCTAAAGCTAAGCTAAAGCTAAGCTAACATTAAGCTAACACTAAGCTAAAGCTGCGCTAACACTAAAACTAAGCTAACGCTAACACTAAGCTAAGCTAACACTAAGCTGATCGATAAGCTAAAGCTAAACTAAAGCTAAGCTAAAGCTAAGCTAACACTAAAGCTAAGCTGAAGCAAAGCTAACACTAAGCTAAAGCTGCGCTAACACTAAGCTGATCGATAAGCTAAAGCTAAGCTAAAGCTAAGCTAACGCTAAGCTGAAGCTAAGCTACAGCTAAGCTAAAGCTAAGCTAAGTCTAAGCTAACACTAAGCTAAAGCTAAGCTAAAGCTAAGCTAAAGCTAAGCAAAGGCTAAACTAACACTAAGCTGAAGCTAAGCTAACGCTAAGCGAAAGCTAAGCTAAAGCTAAGCTAAAGCTAAGCTACAGCTAAGCTAACGCTAAGCTGAAGCTAAAGCTACAGCTAAGATAAAGCTAAGCTAAAGTTAAGCTAACACTAAGCTAAAGCTAAGCTAACACTAAGCTGAAGCTAAGCTAAAGCTAAGCCAAAGCTAAGCTAAAACTAAGCTAACACTAAGCTGAAGCTAAGTTAAAGCTAAGCTAAAGCTAAGTTAAAGCTAAGCTAACACTAAGCTAAAGCTAAGCTAAAGCTCAAGCTCAAGCTAAAGCTAAGCTAAAGCTAAAGCTAAGGCTAAAGCTCCCAGGGGACTGGGGGAACCGCGGGGCGGGGACTGGGGGAACCGCCCGGGGCGATTAGCATTGCCGGGCCCCTTTAGCTAACAGAGTAAGAACCCTTCTAGGCAGAGCCTAGGTAGGGAACAACCGCAATGTGGTGGCGGTCGGTCCGCTGTTGATGCCAGGCCACAAGTCAAGAACCGTGGAACGGGCCGACCGAAGTAGAACAGCAACTGGGTCGGAGATGCTCGAAGAACATCGTCGCCACATGGCTTGATGGCCTCGCCTGCAGAAGTGTCTGGGTCCGACTTTCTTCTTGCCCGCTCCGACGTTCTTCTTGCCCGCACAAGAGTCGAGATCAACGTCCAGCCGTCCTTCCCCACCGACTAGCGGACCGCCTCATCTAGATCACGGGGCAAGTGTGCATCCACGTGAAAGCACATGTTATAGTCCGTCTGGGTGTTGATGAGCATGGTTGCTCGCTGGCCCCATTCTGTAATGTAGCCACACAGCGCTCGAGACCATCTGCCGCCAGCACCAGAGGGAGCCGCGGGGCCTCATGATCCAATCCTGACTAGCCCCGCGCCGACGCAGCTGCCCCCGCCTGGGTCTGGCCACTCAAGCTTCCCCGCTCTGACAGTGCGGCCTGACCGAACAGGAGCTCGCAACATTGGTCATGAGCGAAGCCGTCGCTGGGCCGACCTCCATGCGGTGCTGACATGCTCTTACACGATGTCGTCAAACGGGTCGTGACACTCCGCATTCCAGCACATGGAGACGGACCAGAGGGGCCATGGGAGAAGAGGAGGAAGAGAAGGGCGAGGAGGAGGTGGCGGATGAGCAGGAGGATCAGAAGGAAGAAGAGGATGATGATGATGATGATGAGAGGGGACGAGGCAGATGATCAGCAACAGCAGGGTCAGGACGAGTAGGAGAAGCAGGAGCAGGAGGAGCGGAGCCAGAGGAGCAGCAGGACCAGGGGAAAGCGGAGCTACGACGAGGAAGAGTTCGGAACCACGTGTGCGGCCCGCGCTAGGGCGCGAGCGTCACTCTGAACGACGCGGGCAACGCACCGATCCTGACGGTTGGCCAGCGCTGCAGTCCGACAGATCGAACACAGCCCCCAAAAAAACAACGTGGGGGGGGGTGGGGGGGCACAACTCGTGAAAGGCCGAAACCAGTCCTACCATCGTTTGACGTCGTGCGCAAGCAACAAAGGCACTGGACCGTATCGGGGGAGGGATGGAAGCAGTACTCAGATGGAATAATTGTGGAAAGGAGGGGGAGAACGATCCGTAAGGACAGCAATAAGGGAGCCAGCCTTCCCAGGCACCTCCGCGGGCTTGCAAGTGCCGTACTCCGGGACCACGTCCAGCACCTTTGGAAACAACCGACCGATGCGCGATGAGCGAGAATGGTGGTGGAGGAGCCAAAGGATGGAGGAGGGGAAGGAGGGAGGAGGAGGAAGGAATGAGGACGCGAGGGGAAGGAGGGGGAGGGCGAAGAGAACTGAACGGAGCTAAACCTTGGGACCCCGTGCAAAGAGCAAACTCAAGCCATCTGAACGGGTTGCGTCGCGTCGGGCATCGCGACACTCGAAAACATGACCTTGGTGACCTTCAAAGGAATGATGTCGGCAATTGGTGGGACGCGCACACACCAAAAGACGCCCCACAAGCGGGATGTGCCGCCTCGGGTTTTCTGCGGCCCTGCTCCTATCCGTCTCCAGAGGCACTCTCTCCCACAGAGGAAACTTACGCACTCGACGCCCCGTGCGGACCCCGACCTCTGCCTCTGCCCAAACCACGGTCACGGCTGCTTCGGGGATCTAAACACCCGGCGCAGTCCAGACCAGGATCAATCATGCTTTGGCACTGTAGAAACCTGCGGGATCCTGCACCCAAACACGGGCCAGTGCAGCCAAACCTGGAAGATCGGGCGCTCTGACGGACCCCCGTTTGCACTGACCCCCGCCTCCTGAGCCCCGACTTCTGCGCAAAAGCTCGCCCCCCGTCCATAGGTCTCCAACGAATTTCATACCTGGCAGGGGTCTTCCAAAACTTCCAGGGGCACACTTTGCGGTCCCTCGGCATGCACCTGCCCTCCTCCAGGGGGCATCGAACTTCGATGCCTGCAACTCCAGGAAACAAGCGGGGACCGGAGCGGGAACTGCTCACCTGGGGACTTTTCCCCTCGAGCTTCGCCAGGAGCCGCGCATTGTCGCACATCGTCGGGGGAAGAGAAAAGGGGGAGCAGTTTATGAGGGTAGGGGAAAAACTCGGAGGAGGATGAGGCAGTAGGAGCAACAAGAGGAAGGCGACGAAGAGGCGGAGGAAAGCGCGTTATCCAACGGAGACTAGGACAATGGAGCATAGCATCACTCCTCGCTCGTGCGGTTACGCTTTCTTGCAATCTGGTCACGTTCGCATGGAATTGGCTATGCGGAAATTGCCGCACCCAACATTCCGCACGTTCCGGTGCCTCCGCCAGATGTGCAGGTCGACGCCGCTGTGAAGGAGAATTTGAGGTGCGAATGGAACATGCGCCAGCATTTCTTAGTGATGGCGGGAAGGTACGCTAGCGGTGAGTGGTGCTCGTGCGAGGTCTGTTTCCACCAATCGTGGGTCACAATGACCACAATGAATGTGACCCACTTGACGGCGGCGTAGGTGCATTTGGTGCTGAGTTCTTCGTTGTGACGTCGCATTGGTCTCGGTGGCCGCACGGCTGGCGTCGGCTACGCAGGGAAGCGCAAACTTGCTGTGTGCTAATCCTCGTGAATTGCTGCAGCGGTGTTAGGTCAGACTGATGGTGTTCTCCTGGTGTACAGTCGAGGCGTTGACCTAAGGAACCCTGAATAAGGAACGAGGCCCCTTTTTCCCATAAGTTGAACCTCGACTTCCCATGGAAAACCTCAGGAAAACCCGATGCAAACTTTGAGACAATCAAGGAACACCGAGCCCCTCCCCAACGAAACGGGTTCCTTCTGAAGCGCCCCGACTGTATACGCGCGGTGGCGGCGGTAGCTGCTCATTGATGTACTGGACTCGGCGCATGTTGTGCGTGTCGAGGTCTACTTCTCTTCGCAATCCTCTTCCTCCTTGTCCTTGTCCGCCTCCTCCTCCACAGGTCTCCGGAGTCTCCAAAGGTCCCCAGAGGTCCCCAGAAGTCGTTGGAGGGTCCAAGCTGAAGATGCCCCCAGAAGCTCAAAACAGGCAAAGAAATTCACGAAGATCTCGATCCTCGACCTTCTAGCCTCCTCGATCCTGAAACCTGAGGACTGGGACTTGACACGACTTGAAACAAGCCTCAAGGCACCCATCGGACCTGGGGAGAGACCGAAGGACAGAGGTAAGGAAAGGCGGATGACTGGGTCTGGCAGACTGAGCAGCACCTGCACAGAGAGAGAGAGAGAGAGCAGACAACGACAAAGCAATCGTGAGCGGTCGACAGAGGTCCTCCTCTTGTTCTTCACCGATCCTCGGTTCTCGGTCCTCGATCTCTGAGCCTCGTCGATCCTCGATCATCCTCTTCTCCTCCTCCACTGAGGGGTAACGTTAGGAGGGGCGCGGCCCAACGGGGGAACATCGACCTAATTATCATCGGCGATACCTCGTCGATAGATCGGCGACAGGCCGCTCCGGGGCAGGGCTGGGCCATCGGCCTCTTACATGATAGGGAATCGTTGCAATTGCCCCATATTAGGCTCCGAAGAAG